GAGAAAAAAAATGATCTAAATTTTACTTTTTTTCGTTACTGTCTAAAAAATAAAAAATAAAAAAATTTCCTCATAAATGTCCAAAAATATAAATATCAAGAAATATACTTAGAAACAACTCAAAAAAATTCCCAATTACACCAATGACCTTATAATATCGAAGCAAAAAAATGATCAAAATTTTACACTTTTTCGTAACTCTCTGAAAAAATAACAAGAAAATTAAATTTTTCCTCGTAAATGTCCGAAAATATAAAAATTAAGAATGTACATAAAAACACCTGAATTTTTTTTTAGATTCCACCTATGACCTTAGAATATTGAAACGACAAAATGATCAAAATTCAACTCTTTTTCATGTTTTTAAATTATGTAGTTTTCTTGATTTTTATATTTCGGACATTTACGAGGAAAAAATTAATTTTTTGTTACTTTTTAAGAGAGTTACGAAAAAGATTAAAATTTTGATCATTTTTCATTTTTCTATTATAAAGTCATTGGTGCAATTCGGAAAATTGTTGAGGTGTTTTTAGGTATATTTCTTAAGTTTTATATTTTTTGGACATTTATGAGGAAAAATTAATTTTTTTTGTTATTTTTCGGACAGTTACGTAAAAGAATAAATTTTGATCATTTTTTATTTTACATGCTCTAAGGTCATTGGTGAAAATCGACACTTTGTTGCGGTGTTTTTAAGTAGTTTTCTTGAATTTTATATTTTCCGACAATTACAAGGAAATTTTTTTTTTGTTATTTTTCGGATAGCTACAGAAAAAAGTAAAATTTTGATCATTTGTTTCGTTTCAAATATTCCAAGGTTATTGGTGCAATTTGAAAAAAATTGAGGTTCTTTTTGGTACTTTTCTTGATTTTTATATTATCAGAGATTACGAGGAAAAAATAATTTTTTTATATATTTTTCAGACATTTATGAGGAAAATTTTTTTTTTTTGTTATTTTTTAAACAGTTATGAAAAAGAGTATAATTTTGATCTTTTTTTCGTTTCGATATTCTAAGGTCATTGGTGCAATTTAAAAAAAAATTGAGGTGTTTTTATGTGCTTTTCTTCATTTTTATATTTTCGGACGTTTACGAAGAAAAAATTAATTTATTTTGTTATTTTTTTAGAGATATACGAAAAAGAGTAATATTCTGATAAGCTTTTCATTTCGATATTCGAAGGTCATTGGTGCAATTCAGAAATTTTTTGAGGTGACTTTAGGTACATTTCATGATTTTTTCTCTTTTTTGGACATTTACGATGAAAATTTTAATTGTTTTGTTATTTTTCAGACAGTTACAAAAAAGAGTTTGATAATTTTTTTGTTTCAATATTTTAAGGTCTTTGGTGATTCAGAAATTTTTTGAGGTGTTTGTAGGTACATTTCTTGATTTTTATATTTTTTGAACATTTACGAGGAAAAAATTAATTTTTTTGTTATTTTTCGGGAAGTTATGAAAAAGAGTATAATTTTGTTTATTTTTTCGTTTCGATATGCTAAGGTCATTGGTGCAATTTGAAAATTTTTTGAGGTGTTTTTATGTACTTTTCTTCATTTTTATATTTTTGGACATTTACGAGGAAAAATTTAATTTTTTTTGTTATTTTTCAGAGAGTTACGAAAAAGAGTAAAATTTCGAGCATTTTTTCGTTTTGATATTCTAAGGTCATTGGTGCAATTCGGAAATTTTTTGAGGTGTTTTTAGGTATATTTCTTGATTTTTATATTTTTGGACATTTACAAGGAAATTATTTTTTTTGGTTATTTTTTCAGAGAGTTACGAAAAAGAGTAAAATTTCGATCATTTTTTCCTTTTGATATTCTAAGGTCATTGGTGCAATTCGAAAATTTTTTGAGGTGTTTTTAGTTACATTTCTTGATTTTTATATTTTTTGGACATTTATGAGGAAATTTTTTTTTTTGTTATTTTTCGGACAGTTACGAAATAGTGTAAAATTTTAATCTTTTTTTCGTTTCGATATTCTAAGGTCATTGGTGCTATTCGTAAAATTTTTGAGGTGTTTTTAGGTATTTTTCTCGATTTTTATATTTCCGGACATTTACGAGGAAAAAATTATTTTTTTGGACTTTTACAAAAAAGAGTTTATTTTTATTATTTTTTTCGTTTCGATATTCTAAGGTCATTGGTGCAATTTGAAAATTTTTTGAGGTGTTTTTACGTACATTCTTGATTTTTATATTTTTTGGACTTTTACGAGGAAAAATTTATTTTTTTTGTTATTTTTCAGACAGTTATGAAAAAGTGTAAAATATTTATCATTTTTTCGTTTCAATATTCTAAGGTAATAGGTGCAATTTCGGAAAAAAAATTTGAGGTGTTTTTAGATACTTTTCTTGATGTCTCAAAATCACATAACACTTAGAGGAAATGAGGGTGAAAATGGATATAAACTACCAGTGATGACCACTAAATTTTTGCTAGGCTCTCATTGTCATCCTCCACTAAAGCGGCTCCTTGGCTGCTAAATTGGTGCATGGTGATAGGCAATGAAATGAGAAGTTTTAGATAAGTTTTGAGTGTAAATTTTGCAATTATTGGTCTACTTTTCATGTGTGTAGGGTTGTCAATTCCACTGTTGAACATGATTAGTGAAAAAAGACCAACAAAAATGCTAAAGGAAGAAAATAAGGAAAAAAAAGACATTTATATGTGTTGCATGTCCGTGCACCCAGTAATGCGCCTGCGTGAAACACAAGTCAGACATTTTCTCTCCGCACGCTGGTTGCGCACTCGGGCTCTCGGCAGTACTCCTACGCGGTGGGTTTTTGAAGTTGCGGCCTCTCCGTGCGCCGATCGCGCGCTTGGGCTCCTTGCAGCGCGCCCGCGTGGAATGGAGGTGTCAAATCATTAATGGAAGGGTATTTTTGGAATTTCGTAGGGAACCCTATGCTATATGATGTTGGAGCTTGTCCTAGGACCAGTGGGATCGTGAAAGGAGAAAAAGAAATGCTAAGTTATGAAGAAGAGAAGGGGGAACACACGATACTGTACTCGAATCCAAAATGGAAGTTGAGATTCAAAGTTTGATTGCTATGTCTTCTTTTTCATCTTTGTTCTTAGTAAAATTATTCTCCTCCATGGAGTAGATTCTTAGACGGTATTTGACAAAACATGTTGTATTGATGAATTTGTTGGAATTTTGATTTTCATTTTTATGCTTGAACTTGTTATGGGAATTTGAATTAAATTACAACCTTGTTCATCATTTTATTTAATCAAAAGAGGAATATTTTGGTGAATATTGTTGCATAGTTTTGTTGGATTGAATCAATATATTTTTTCTGAAGTAATCGAAGGAACTTGTTAATAATTATTGATTAAATCTCAAGGAAAAATAGTTGAAGGACGTTACTTCGTTAAGAACGATCATTAACATGTTTTTGCATATTAGAATCACTGGGTTATAATTGGTTTATTCTTTAACTTGAGGTTTACCGGGAAGAGGAATCTAAGGCTTAAGGCTACTCTAATAAGCTATTGAATTCGATAGAATCGATTGAACTTTAGATGTGATAAATGAATGTGGTCAAATCTCAACTATCATTATGCACCTGTTTCGTCTTGTACCCTATCTTTTATTATTGATAATAAACATCATAGTTACCAATTGTTTTTAATTATCATTTATACTATGAAAATGGTTCATAACCACAACCAACTCCTTTCTTTTGATCACCTGAATAATAGTAATCAAGATTTGATTGAATTATTATTTGTACCAATCCTGTGGAGATGATCTTTATACTATCCTATCTTTGACTAGGGAAGCACTAAACTTATAGTGTATTTGTGCTCGTCAAATTTTGGTGCCGCTGCTGGAGATTGGAAAAAAGTAGTTTTCAATAGAGTTTTATGAATTAATTCAGGTTATATTTTGTTTGTTATATTAGTTAATATCTCAAGTTCCTATTATCGCAGGCAACAAGTATTAACCACAACTTTGGTGTATGACACGATCTTTCACAAAAGAAGTTATCGAATACAATCTAGAGTTGGAAAAAACTTTACTCTTTCATAAGAATAAACTTGCAGAAAGGGTTTTAGGGAAGTCTTAAAGGCTTAATACAATAGGTGATATGAATGCCGGTAACATGGGTTTGAATGACCCATTCAATCTTGGTAACCTAAATCAGGTACGTGGATTGATGATGATGTTGAACATCCTGGAGTTGTTAACCAAAGAATCCATCGCCTTCCTACTGAGGTAGAAGACCAAATGGATCAAAATAATGGCAGTGCAGGGAGATTGTTAGAAGACTATGCTAAGAAAAATTACAATGGGATACAGACCAGTGTAAGATGTCCTCCTGTTTCGGCAAATAACTTTGAGATCAAGCAGTGTTCTCCAAGCAGAACAAAATAACTGTGTTTTCAGAGGAAAGTAGAATGAGGATCCAACAAGTCATCTGATGGATTTCGATGAAATCATGAACACTTTTCATTACAATAGAGCATCAGACGATGCTATATACTTTAGGGCATTTCCTTTCTCTTGAAAGATGATGCTAAGATCTAGCTACGAAGTTTACCTTCTAGATCAATCTGCACCTGGGATGAAATGACGACAAAGTTTCTTGATAAGTATTTGTCTCCAACAAAAACAACTAGAATGAGGAAGGAGATCATCAATTTCAGTCAACTAGAATCAAAAACAATGTTTGAAGCATGGGAAATATTCAAGGAATTGTTAAGGAAGTGTTCACATAATGGAATAGAGTCATGGTTGCAGTTGACAAATTTATGGGAAGGGTTATCACCTGCGTCACGGAGAATATTAAATAATGCAGTGGGTGAACCGATTATATAAAACACAGCCGAAGAAGCAAGTAAAAATGTAGTAGGTAAGTCCAACGAAATTCAGAAAGGAAAGGAGAAGTCAGAACTAGAAGTTGATTCTAAATATATGCCTGCATTGCCTTTTCCTCAAGAGATGAAACGAGAGATGCTTGAAAAGTATTTTGGTAAGTTCTTATAGATGCTGAAGCAACTATATGTGAATATTCTTTTCACTGAGGTAATCACTCAGATGCCTGCATATGCTAAATTTTGGAAAGAAATTTTATCCAGCAAGAGAAAATTGGAGGAAATATCAGTAGTCAAGTTGAATGCTCATTGTAGTGCCATCCTTCAAAATAAACTACCTCAGAAATGTGGTGATCTGGGTAGTTTCACTATTCCATGTGTGATAGGGACTACTGGATTTGAGAAATCCTTGTGTGACTCAAGAGCTTCTATAAACCTCTTGCCTTTATCTGTATTCAAAATGTTGTAAGGAGAGCTTGGAATCATGAAATTCATCCCAATGTCCTTGCAGTTGGCAGACCAATCCACCATTATTCCTGAAGGGATAGTTGAAGATGTTCTAGTTAAGGTGGACAATTTTATGTTTCCAGTAAATTTTATCATGGTGGACATGGAAGAAAATAAAGAGGTTCCATTAATTCTTGCTCGACCGTTCCTAGCTTATGGTAGAGCAATATTTGATGTGTATGAAGGGAAACTGATGCTTATAGTTGGAGAGGAAGAGGTAGTATTCAATATGAAGAAGGTGGATGAGCTCACAGTTAACACAACCAAGTCGGATAGAAAAATCATGGAATGGGTGCGTGCGCTTGGCCAAGTCTGCACAATGGACCCAAACACTATTTCCAACACCGACTAAAAAGAGTCAGGGAAGTTTCCTTTACTTTTGCAGTTTCTTTATGCCATGGGGGCATGTCATAGTTTAAGTGTGGGGGTTAAGGAGTTTTAAATAACTAAAAAAATAATTTTTCTTTCTAGGGTAACTTCTTTATTGTACTTCTATGGGTTTCTTGTCTGATTCTTTTACCATAGTTGTTTTGTTTTGAATTAGACTTTTTTAGGATAAGAGTCGTAGCATAATTGTTGAAGACCTGCTAGAGGTAGAAGTTGATTGATTCCTATCTAGAGGTTGTATTGCTTGCTTAATTGAAATTTGTTTGCTTGTTGGCATGTAAAGTTGAGACATTATCAATCATTTAATATTGTGTGGTGAGAAGATCTTGATATGTACTCATGTTTGAAAGAATGTAGAACTTGGCATGGTAATTTTTTGAGGCGAAATTCTAGGACTTTTTGAGGAAGAATATGATTGTAGGCTTTCTTTGATTAACCCACTTTTAGCCTAAATTCATCGAGCATTGATGATATGTATCCCTAGTCAACCAATTTGAGACTTATTATAATCCATTTTCTTTGATTAGTCGATACATCCCTCTAGTCTAATCCCCTATGTGTCACTCTCTTAATTGGAATTATACACGGTGTAGAGAATTGATTTATGGGAACTGATATACCGTGAGTTTACGGTATTTCTAATACATTTCACTTACAAGTTGTGTGTGTCTAGGGCTTTTTTATATTGGTTTTTATGTGTTTTTATCATGTTTTGCAGGAAAGGTGTTCAGACGCGGAAGTATAGAACAGCTGCAAGAAATGCAGAAACAGGGCATTCACGGAGGTGATCTACGGACCGTAGGTCCATTCACGGTCCGTAGGTGATGACCGTAGATCAGCAGGCATGGGATTGAGGACAAATCAGGGAAATCTGACCAAGTGTGGAACCACGGTGTCCATTGACGGTCCGTAGATTGATCTACGGATCGTACTGTTAATCTGTAGAATGATACTGCGAGGGTTCCAGTACCTGATTTTTGAAGATTCTAAGTATGGAGCTACGGAGGGGATTGACGGACCGTAGATCGATCTACGGTCCGTACTGTTAGCTGTCGTTTGCTTCAGAGAAGTTGATTTTTTGGAAGTAGAAATATTTTCTAAGTCCTGGCTGACGGAAGGGACTTACGGACCGTAGATCCATCGACGGTCCGTAAGTCAGTCTCGTGGATTGAAGACGCGTACCTGAATAACCTTCCTTAATTTGTTTCCCTTTTAATTTAGGATTTGTTTTCTATAAATAGGACATGTAAACCTCGTTTTTGGGGGTTATACATTATTATTCTATTTTTACCTTGTGACTTTGGAGATTAAGTTGCAACCCTAGCAATTATTGATTTCCTACATTTGTTTTGAAGATTTTGGCTTTATTATTCTCGTTACGTAAGTTTATGATTTATTCATCTAATATTATGAATTGTGTTCTTGCTAGTATGGGTAACTAAATCCACAACTAGGGTTGTGGGAACCATGAGCGATTAACAAAGTATGAATAGTAAATAAGTAATTCTTGAATAGTGTTTTGCATGCATTGATAACTCTTTCGTTTAAAAGTCTTTTTAACGAGTGCACGCGTTAGAACTCGCCTTGTTGCTACTTGCCGGATCAAGGAGGTAATCAACAAGAAAAGAATTATCAACATAGATTTAGTGTGATACTATCTAATAGGCTAGTGTCGATTGGTGCGAAGTAATAACTAAGCCAAACATCGATTATGATGTCTAATATGAGGTAAAGGTAAGGGTTAGTAAATTATACACACGTAGCCGGATCAAGGTGCGGGGTGAAATTCTCTAGATGCCGGATCAAGGATTTAGAGATACCTAACTTATCACTTTGCATGTAATACACTAGGAAAGGATTGCGATTACTAGGATTACTGAGTTATGAGCTTGTGGGGAACACGTTTACCCTAGTTAATCTTCTCATCTTGATAACAACCGAAATTGACTTTTGATTATTGATTACTTACTGAATTCTTACAATTTGTTTCACAAATTCCCCCTTTTTTTATTTCTTGTTTCCGGAAGTATTTTGGCTAATTGAATATAATTGTTGGTTAAAGTAAAGTCTAAACCATTCCCAACCTACAAGTTGGGTTCTTTACTTGATAACGATCGCTTATACTTCTTTAGGGAGGTGTAATTTGAGCGTATCAGGAACAAAAATAAAAACAAAAAAAGAAAGAGAAAGAGAGGCTATTGAATCTAGTCATGTGTTGAAAAGTAATGGAAGTTGTTGGATGTGTTTTCAAAAGAAGGTGGAATTTGCCTAAAAGAAAAATAAAAAAATGAAAAAGAGAGGGGGGGGACATAACTTTCTACAAACACCTTACCACAAATTACACCCATGCAAGTCCTACATGATTTTAACTTAAGAAGTCCTACATTAGTAGAGAAACACTCGATTGCCAAGCGTATGGTATTATGAAAAAATATGATGTACTTCTTTGTGAGAGGGAGTGAAATGAGAGTGTTCTTTCTGTGATGCATGATCATGAGTATTGTGAATAAATGACATCTTCTTTGTTGTGAGGAAGTTCATGGATTGATTTCCGCTTAAATTTCATTGTCAATGAGTAATCATTTAATGATGAATGTTGCATGCACCTATAGGGATGGTTGAAGTCGATTACTATTTCTAGTGTCTTGTGCGTCAAAGTTTAGAAGGGGTCAAGTTGTTCTAATTTGCTCGGGACGAGTAAAAACTCAATTGTGGGGGGGGGTATTTGATAGGAAATGAAATGAGATGATTTAGATACGTTTTGAGTGTAAATTTTGCAATTATTGGTCTACTCTTCATGTGTGTAGGGTTGTCAATTCAAGTGTTGAACATGATTAGTGAAAAAAACCAATAAGAATGCAAAAGGAAGAAAAAAGGAAATAAAAGATATTTGCAAGTGTTGCCCGTCCGCGCGCCCAGCGGTGCATCTGATAACACTCAACTACACTTCTTCTGATTCAAAGTGTAGGCGGTCTCTAACAAGTATGAACCCAACGATGAGTTGGGGTCGATCCTACAGGGAGTGATACGGTAAAGAATTTAATTATGATGTGAGAATGTGTTGTAATATTTCATAGAAGTAAAAGGGTAGGCAAAATAAAATAAATCACGAAGTTTCAGTTATCAATATCAAGAGGGGGAATTTAGTAACAAAGTTCTAACAACAACAATTAACATGGGCTTTGGACGATAGAGAGAGGACCATAGGAACGTGATCAATCGAATACTAATTTCGCTTAATGGGTGATTACTAATTACTTTAAGTTGTTGAATATCAATGGGTAGGATATGTTTTGAATATAATAGCCATCTCTCGATCAACTATCATGTTTCAAGTGAGTTCTTTCGAACCTCAACAAGCTTAACATTACCAAGCATCCCAATTCCTTAATTAACCCAATTTATTAAGCTGGGTTGTAAAGATGCAAATCAATACAACTATCAATCATTCATTCTACCCTATACGTCTTTCTCAAGCAAGCATAAAGAGCTAAGCTAGAACCTTATTTGCAACTTCAGTTCATCAATTAAAACATGAACAAAAAATTGAACCCATTTGAAAACAACATTTAATTCAGCAATTAACAATACCCATAAGCTAATCAATGCATTCAACTACGTGATCACACCCCTAAGATAAGGGTTTTAGCTAAACATAGCGAAAAGTATGAAAATGTTACCAAAAAGATTATCCATCTGAATTGTTAACAATCTGCAATACCAAAATGCCAAAATTAAAGCTAGAATCTGAAAACCTCAAATCCCAGATACAAATCTTCTCTAAGAATGTTCAACAATGTAAAAATGTGAAAACTCTCAAAGACTGGGGAATACACTGTGCCTTTTATTTTTTCAAAATATAAATTTATACATTCCCAAAAACTCAACACGAAGTCCAATTGGCGAGGTTAGTCGGGATCGTCGATCGACTCGGCGATCCACCGAGTTGCACTTCATCTCACCTTTTTTATGTGACTCTTGTATCCAATGGTTCTGGAAGATTAGGCGAGTTGGGTCTTTATCGCCGATCCATTCGACGTATCACCGAATCACCTTTTGCTCGCCAAGTTGGCTTGGTACATGGGATACTTTGCTGGAACTTTTGGCAAGCTGGAAGCTCACTCGGTGAGTCGTTGAGTAGCTTTTGCGAGCTCCAACTTCTCTTTTCTTCAGCTTTTCCAACTTTTTCGTTCCTTTTTGCATCGTAAAGTCCTTTCATTCTTCTTAAACCTTCATTGCTGCATATAAACGCATTAATATCAGTTATGAGCACAAAGTAGGCATTGAGGACACTAATTCGTTGAATAATAAATCCTAAATGAGTTGAAATTCCCGACTCATCAACACCCCCAACTAAAAATTTTGCTTGTCCTCAAGTAAAACACAAGACCAATCAAGCCAACAGGGATGTCTACTAATAGTGCTCCTTGAGACTTAACATGAATGCACAAGGTTCAATTCACACATGCAATGCTCAATTGTGCACTAAAAGTTTCAAACCGTGACTAGTCATCATAAAATAGAGTTCAAGCGCACAATGCTCACTTCAAATGCATTTTCTATGCTCAACAAGAGTATTTGAATGCCATCACATCAAGAATGATTCCATGCTCTCACCAGGCCAATCAAGGAATACAATTAAGGAGTCAAAATCAACTCTCACACTCCCAATGAGAAAAACATGCACGATTTTACCCATAGGCTTGCCTTTATTTTCCAACCAACACATCACTCGATTCATGCAAGATCAAAAAGGTCTTTCAAGGCTTGTAATTGGGCTGAAGGTACGAGTTTGATCATTTTGGCTTAGTGACTTCTACCTTCATGAAGCATGGCTCAAATTTCACTTCTTCTCCTTTTCTTTCATTCTTTTCATTTTCACAACTCATCCTTGGAATATTCAAAGCATACAAATTTTTTGGTATAACTCATCAGACACCCCTTTAGTTTGATTACCGTTAGTTTGATTATATTGTGTTGAAAGTTTATTCTAATGAAGCTTACATTAAATCTCATATTGTTTCGTGACTGCCCGAATAATATAAAAAAAATTAACTCGTCAACGTTTCGAAATTATAAAAAACAAGAAGAGGATAGAAAAAAACATTAAAATTTTTTTTGAATTGCACCAGTCACCTTAGAATATCAATATGAGTAAATTATCAAAATTTCACATTTTTTCGTGATTTCCCGAAAAATATCAAAACTTTTAATTAATAACCATCCGAATAATAAAAAATAAAGAAAAAGACATAAAAACACTTCGAAAAATTTGAATCGCACCAGTCACCTTAGAATATCGATAGATATAAATTATCAAAATTTAACATTTTTTCGTAATGCTGAAATATAATAAAAAATTTAATTCGTAAACATCCGAAAGATATAAAAATCAAGAAAAAGACATAGAAACACCTCAAAAATATTCCCGAATTGCACTAGTCACCATAGAATATCGATACGAATAAGATATCAAAATTTCACATTTTTCCGTGACTTCCCTAAAAATATCAAAAAATTTAATTCGTAAAGGTCTGAAAAATATAAAAATCAAGAAATAGACATAAAAACACCTCCCTAATCGCACTAGTCACCTTAGAATATTAATACAGATACAATATCAAAATTTCACATTTTTTCGTGACTACCTGAAAATATCAATAATTTTAATTCGTAAACTTCCGAAAAATATAGAAATCAAGAAAAAGAATTAAAAACACCTCACAACATTCTCGAATCACACCT